AGCGAATGAGAGGTGCTGTAGTAATTGCTTAATTATGAATTAAAACCCGTATTCATAGGAGATTAACTGGGAGAAAGATTCTTCAACACTACTGGAAGCAGTAATTGACAACATCCACAAGATTACCAAGTTTCTTACGCACGGCGAGGTGGGTTAACGTGGAACTTACTCAAATATAAACATTGTCGATAATTATGACTAATGTTGAGCCACATATGCTCTTAGATTAGACATATTCCTAATCGCCTTCTCTTTATCCCAATTGTTATCACTAAGTCAACGAGAAGGGCTTCATGTGTACACTTAGAGTTTAAAAGAGAGAGCCACACAAGCAATAAGACCGTCACTGACTGGCAAATTCAACATTTACGTTGTTATTAAACGTGTAATGAGGCGGACAGCACAATGTTGTGATGTCGGTCGTCACGAGCATGGTGCTAGTTCGATTCCGCTCCCAACCAACCAAGCCTCTCATTTTTCCGTGGTCAGGAAATTGATACCGGGCTTGCCCGGCAAAAAATCCCTCTGTGCAATCCAATTGGGAACGCTCCAGCTCGGCTATCTCAGAGCTCCAGTGAGAATGGACTCGACCAGCATTACACGGCATTCATGATGGAGTGAAAATCCTCAAACAGCAGCCGAAGCCGTACGTAACAGTTGGAAGATCGTCGTGGATCGAATCAAATGTGCTAAGTGATGGGATCCACACAATAGACGTGAAGACGGGTCATGTAAAATAAAAATTAAAAACGATTAGCGTGTAATAGTTGTTTTCTCGTGCGGCAAGGGTTCTATGAAAAATCAATATTGCTACTCATGGAATGCAGTTAGGTTGTCAAAAATGAGTGCTACGGAGGAGATCTATGAGAAATGGAAACTTGACAGCGTTTGCTCATTGTTGGACATGAAAACAGCGTCCTAAGAACAGGTAGACCAATCTCCAAAAACATTTCTGCCATGTGGCGTCTTCACAGAGTGGTAAAGTCGATGAAATGCGTGCATTTGATTTCTTTGACTATATCTAACGCTTTTCCAAGAGGACTTTTTCAGAAGACCCACTTTTTCCCTTCTTTCATCTAGTGCTATAAAGCCGCGCGTGTGGCGCAGTGGTCTGAGGCGCCCTGCAACACACACGTGGAATTGATTCCCGAGCCCATGGCCCACTAAGCCTTCCATCCCCCCGGAGTTGGCAAATTGATACCAGACTTGTCTGGAAGGATAGCAGCACTGGCTCGACACTTGTATAAGCCACAACGAGTCACTGCAAAGGCCAGATATGTATTCAATAACCTCCAACAATGCTTAGTGAAGTCGAATGCATGGCGCATCCTACAGGGTTTGATCAACACCGGGAGCTTTATCCTTTATTTACCGCTATTAAGTTGATGTAAGTGAGCCTGTTATACAGCAACACATACTCTATTAATTGTTAAAAGTTTACAGCGATTGTAAATTTTCAGTTGCTGTATTCTGCTTTGTTGATGTTCCGATTACCAAAGTCCTATGGAGTAGCGCTTTTTTCTTGAAGATGTTTGAGCTTTTTTTTCTTTGCTGTTTGTAATGTTGCTCTTTGAGGTGTCTTCTTTTATCGACAATTGTTTCACTACTGCCAATCCCCTTTTCTCCATTCCTGTACTCGTTTCTCGACTACCCGTTCATGATTCCGTTGATCGTATAGTATATTGGATTAATTTATCGCTACGAGATGGTTTGGAAAGAACCTTGAAGGACAGTGCTTGTGAGAGATGTGATGGTAAGAGTTTCTTGGTTCCTTTTCTTCATTCGCTGTAATAATCTGATGAGATCTGCTTTTAGATTTCCTGTATCAGAAATACAGAGATTTTATCACCTGTCTAGTATTTCTCCGTGAGAAAGTACTCAGTGTGATAAATAAAGATTCTTCCATACCCAAAGTGCCTGACTACCTCCAAATAATTGAGGTCAGAGTTCTCCATTTTATTTCGTTTTGAAATTTAAAAGTCACTAAGAGGTTCTTCTTTAAGGCTAAGCTATGCTCAGCGTTGACGTCGTCTTTGCAACACGTGTACGATTCGATTGGGGCTGGAAAAGACGTTGATTTGCACGTTCTACACTTTTTCATCACCAAAAGCCGCACCGTCTTTTTGAACGTCCGTTAATATTTGTATTCACTTGTATTGTTGTAATTATTCTCAAACATTAATAACGAAATCTTCCAAGGACTCCACGTTGCTCCACTATGTAATAAGATGGTTGTGCTCGCGTGAAGAATCGGCGCTTTGGGATCGCATTGCTCAGCGGGTGCTTGCCGACGACTCGGTTTCCACGAGAGGTTCTGAAATGGTCGTCAGCGAAGTTGTGCTTTCTGCCTTAAAATCTGGTGATCTAATGGTAAAAATGACCGACAAACTCCTTTCGCTTAGGAACAATTCGTTAAAGAATCATGCTTGTTTTATAGCGCTGCCTTGGATTCTCCATTCGTAACAATACGGTTGTTCGTCGTGTTTGTACTAGAAAGTTCTTTCTGCAACGAATATGTAATCCATCATTAGTACCAGTACTGGTGGACTATCTCCGTGTTGCTGCAACCAAAGAAATTTATCTCTCCACCTTCGAGGTTTTTTGATTTTGTTTTTTTCAAAATTGTTTATTGCTTGGTAGTAGTTCCTATAACACCCCAAAAATATTAAGGCTAGCAATCTTTGTGCTCTTTATAATTGTGGAACTTATCGGCGAATAAGAAGAATCTTTGTACTTTCCTCATGTTTGATACTTTTCCTATCTCCATATTCTCCTGACCAGTGACAACTTTGTGGTTCATTGAACAAACTCATTCGGAAGGGTTTTGAAATTAAGTATGGAATAAAGCCGTTGGAAACGCACTAGTTAGAGATGGTTCATCGCTGCTTCGTTCCCATACTGTGCTGACCACGCCTTCCATCGCTTCACTACCAGCAAATGCTGTCATACCTTCCTGGATATAGTTTCCTCTAATCCGTAAAGGCCGGTGTCTACCGTCTGTGAATACATCAAGATGCTCTAGCAAGGCCTTCTCAAAATTTATGCTCGTCCGCCATTCCAGGGGGAAGACGAGACCTTCAAGTAGCACCCGCATCCACGTGCAAATCTAAACCTTTGATTGATGGAACTAGATGAAAAAATTAGAGCCTATGCTCTCTTTTTACACCAAAAGTAAAAAAATTTCTTTTTCGTATTTGGACAACGTCCGACAAAAAATCTGTAGTGGCTAAACGGTCGATTAAATACGAAAGTACTTAAGAAAGTTTATGCACAAGAGTAACATCCGGAAAGGAATCGAACGATATATGATTGTTGTGGCCCATTATGCTTTCGTGTGCCGTGAACCATGCATAGTTTACATGGGGCTTTGTGTTAAGTGTTACCTACGTTTTATTGATATGTCATCCGTTATGCTTATATGGTCGTTTAGTCTGTGTCTTGCGCTCTGTGGATGCATGAGTGCTACCATTCCTTACGTACTGTACGGATAGATTAACGAATTGTTGCATATGAGCAGAAGTGTAATTAATCGTTTCTCTATACCGCAGCCGTCGAAGATAACTGTTGTTGGTACCTAGCACTGAGCAGTGTTTTAAGTAGTTTTCTTTTTTGAAAATTATTTAAAACTATAGGGTAGTGGTAGCACCAACACAATTGCGATATGAGTTATATGTGACTCATACGCGGGAAAAATGGTAGGTCATTTAAACTGTACTTAAACATATTTCAGAGTAAAAATAGCAAATATTGTTAACACATAAGACTCACGAGTAGTTCTTCGATAATTGTCTGTAATTTTCCAATAATTGGAATGCTTGAGTTGAAAACTTAACAAATTTGTAGAAGAGACTTTGCCCCACCGCTGTTCGGATAGGTAGAATTTTTCCATATTGTTAGTCTATTATTTTTCTAATGGTAGGGTATATTGCGAAATATAACATCAGTGATGCAGAGATATTTGCAAAACTCCGGACCGCAGGTGTCTGCTGTAGTGAACGGACGCGCTATTACCATTTTCGGGGGCTAACGCGTTCACTACCGCACCATGCGGGTCCTTTGTTTCGCCTGTCTCTCAGCTAGTTCTATCGGTCTCTGCCATCAGCAATCACCCGTGCCCAGATCAATCCCGCCGACGTGTTACTCCTCGGAAAGGACAATAGCTCGTTCGTTCTCCACCACAGACACTTGCGGTCCGGAGTTTTGCAAATGTCTCAGCATCATTGAAGTTATATTTCGCAATAAACGCTACCATTAAAAAAGAGTAAGCGGTAAATACTTACTTACTTGATACTTGAACGGCCCGTCCTCACTGGTTGTGCGGGCGTCAGCATAGTCACCGTTTTTCGGAGATTTGATGGTTAAACCATTGTCGTTCCCTAGAATCCCTAGGTCACCCTGGCCAAAGTCTGCCCCAGGTCTTCACCACCACAGACAGTCGCAGCTCTTGTGGATCAGAGGGATATTTACCACCATGCAACTTTGATACCAGGACGGTGGTGGATCCTGGTATTGGTTTTGTTTTACTCTTAGTTAGGTTTCCTAATGGAAACGCCGGACTGAGCCTGGGAGACCCTGCCGGGGGATGAATCCTCCGCTGTACATCGCAACCTAACAGCCAGGAACGCCTCCCAGCCACGATGAGGCGGTGAACCGTTGGGAGGGGCGGTGAATAATAGGTTGAAATTGTGATTAACTTTAACACATTCGCGACATGTGGCGTTTAACAGTGCTCCCACTTCGGATGTGGCCAAATTTTCAACCTTTATGGGCTCGCTGGGTTTTTGACGACAAGCGGGCATTTTTCAATGACTAATGGGCTTTGGTTGTTGTAAACGTGATAACGTTGTATAAGAAACTTTGCTCTATCGTTTCATGTTTTGTGGTCCATCATACAAACTCATTGATGTAAATGTTTTGAAAACCGACTCTCGTTTAACTTCGGCATGACTAATCAATATGTATCTTTCGATTGATGTGGTAACACAAGGTTGGTAAAGACTTCAGTCGGCTAACGTTTCGCCGTCTTCGACTTCAGCAAGGCCCGATAGATTCAAGTCGATTGTCTGCACCTGTTCCTTCTTCTGATGCGAGTCTTCGTGATGACAAAGACGACTCGAATCCACTGTAGCACCGATCGAATGAACTAACCTTACTCGGGAGTGCTCTTTGATATAGGACGGTTGTTTATACTGATTGTCGGGTGATGATCGTTTGCTTTTCTCTAAACACTCCATCCTTCAGCGGTCGGTATCACAATCACCTCGCGTTGAGAATAACAACATTTTGAAAACACTCGGTTTCTGCTTGTGTGTTCACGTTACTGTTAAGTGACTGCTGTAGAATGGCTTGTTCGGAGAAAGACAAACGATTATCAACAGCTGGTATCAACAACGACGATCCCCCATCAAAAAGCGCTGCAGGCTGAGGTTACTTCATTCGAGCGGTAAACCACTGGATCCGACTCGATGTAATTACCAAGACTTACATTGAACAGCTGTGGAAAATCGACTCGGGTAAATCCGGGTCTGAAAAGGGTTAAGGCGCAACAACGTTAGAGGCTTAGTAATCAACCTCGTGTTAGCTTGCCAGTGAACATGTGCACTAATGTCAATATTTCAAGTATTTTGGAACTTAGGCTGTGTTTATTTCGGTAGTTTTTATACTCGAAGATTCCATGGAATGACTACGATTCATTCTTTTTTTTTACATGACTCATCTCTCACATCTCTCATAGGGATTACAACACTTCTCGCATTCAACTGTTTTCCTTGCAGTCGTATCCACGAAGGTCTTCGAACTCTACATGTGGCTTCGGCTGCTGCTTGAGCATTTTCCTTTCATCTGGAATGTCGTTCAACGCTAGTCGAGTCGATCCTCCCTAGAGTCCTGAGATGGCTAGGCTAGGGCGTTCTCGCTTAAATTGCAGAGTTTGAAGTTTTCCTTTACAAGTTCTTTACCAATTTTCCAAGCTCGAAAGGATGAGAAGCTTGGTGGGCCCAGACCGAGATCGAACCAGCATCGTGCTCGTGATTATCGGCCTTTCTGGTACTGTGCTATCCGCTCGCCATGATACATCACAGTGATTACTATTGAATTAAGTCAATGGGTAGTCAAGTTTCCTGTCAGTGAATTCATTCGAGGAAAAATTTTCTGTATAGTCTAGAATCTAAGTTTAGAATACAGGTTTTTCCAGCCTACGCTGACCACAACATTTGTTTTGGTTAAGCTAAGAAACAAAAAAAATCTTGGAAGAAGGTTCTCTGCGCTCAAATGAGCCATCAGAAAATATGACTCCTGTGTCGCTCATACAGAGTACTCGGCGCTGTGTATGGTTGATTGTGTAGGATGCACACCATTTATTATGTGTTAAATTGGTTTAAAATTCGAATTTATAAGAAAAATTGAAAATGAACATCGATTTTTTATTGCGTACGCTTTGGCCGTAAATGCGAGCGATATATTGGGGGTTTTCAAAATGCGAGCAGTGATGTGGAAATATAGAAAGAAGTTCCGCAGGCTCCGGAGTTTTATTTTGATAGGATAAGAAAAGTCGTATCTTGTATGGAAGCATCTGTAAATTTTTACGATTTTCATCTCATTGAATAGAGTCTACTATGAACTGAGACATTTTTCTTTAGAATGAGAGATGTGGTTTTGTTCAGGTGCTTATGCATTGGAGCCAATACATATGAGTGCAGAAACTTTGTTTTCATTCCTATTTGTACTTGAGTTCTGAATAAGCCCAAGAAAAATTTTATTCCTAGAAAGGTAGAGGAATTCCTAGTCTATGAGTGCGTCAGGTTCCCAGCTGCCCGAGTGCTTCTATTTGTCGAGAAATATCGCAGTCAAAAATTAGATATTGACCTATGTGTTAATAATCATATCTAGGAAATATGTTTTATATGAAATAAATCCATCACGTCTTCGTGGGAATTCGAACTTGTTCAGATGGTGGTCTCCGTTTGGGCGGATCCTGCCCATGTGCGATACGTTGCTGTTGAACAACAGATGCATGTGACACGAGTGCTTCTTTGTTTAGGTCGATGGATTAAGTACGTTCTGAACATTTGTCTACCATTAGCTGCAACTCATTTGTCAAAATCGTCTATAGAACATATCTTTTCCATTGAAATTTTAAAAATTAACCGCTAATACTACTACTGAAACTGGAATTATCAGATTTGCGTCAGTGCGCATTGATTCCAATGCAGTTCGCCACCGGAAAAGAAAATTATGCCGTTCTGGTGCGCACGGTGAAAATTAGACGATGCCATGAATGTGTTTTGGGAGTAATAACAATAGTAATAGGTACTCGTTAACGGTAATTAATCCTAGTTGTTATGTTAATAATAATAATGCTAGTGATTATTACTTACTGGGATACTTGGATGAGCCGTCTTCACTCATTGTACAGGCTCCAGCATAATCTCCATTTTTCACAAAATTTGCTGGCTTTAGCCATTGTAGTTTCCTGTAGTCCTAAGGTCAGCCTGGCCATAGTTTGTCCCAGGTCGTTGCCACCACAGGCAGTCGCAGCCCTTGTGGATCAGAGGGAGATTTGTCACCAGGCGAGTAATTTGATACCAGGACGATGGTGGATCCTGGTATTGGTTTACTCTTAGCTAGGCTTTCTGATGGAAACCCCGGACTCCTTAGTTTAGGAGACCCTGGCAGGGGATGAATCCGCGCTGTACATCGTAGTCCAACGCCCAGGAACACCTCCTGGTCGTGAACCGTTGGGAGGAGTGATTCTTAATACTTCATTTGTTTATATTCATGGTTGTATTATTGTATTTCTCATGTTATCATACTGGTAATTATACCAATTTGTATTTATTTTAGATGATTATGTTTATATACTCCACTATTAATAATAATATTAGTTCTGGTAACAATAATAATAGAAATCACAATGGTGCTGAAATGTTTGCGAAACTTCTGACCTCAGGTGTCTGCGGTGTGGGGATCGAACACGCAATTACCCTTTCCGGAGTCTAGCGTGTTCCCAACACTATGCAGGTCCTTCTTTTCGCCTTTCTGTCAGCCGTGTTTTATGGGTGCTATTAGCAATCACTCTCAACAAGATTGAAACGCGGCTGAGAGAAAGGCGAAACGAAGAACCCCCATGGTGTAAAAGTGAGCGTGTTACTCACATAAAGAGTAGCAGTATGTTCGATACGTACCACAGACACTGCGGTCTGGAGTATTGTAAATATCTCATCATCATTACGGTTATATTTCACATTATACCCTACCATGAAGAAAGAAAAAGCAGTGAATAAGTAAATAGATAGTGATGATAATAGTAATAATAATAATAATAATAATAATAACAGCAATAATAATAGTAGTAATAATAACAGTAATAGTGATGGTGACACTAAAGCGTTGAGAAGCTTAATTGTCGACGCTTCTTATATTGGAGCTTTTGTATTTCTTATACTTCTGTTTTCACTGTGTTAATCTATGTGACTAACAGTTTATTGTTTCCAGTGAAGTGACTGCATATGATTCTGTGCGAAATATTTTCAATTCGATTTTTCCTGGCGTCGAAGCTCGGCTAGCTAATCCAGGTTTGTTCCGTAAAGTAATCTGCTATTTGTTTGTAAGAATATGTAATAGATATAGACGATGTATCAGTTAGTTAAGTATATTTAGATAAAGTAATTTGCCAGTCCGGAATGTTCGTGGGTGAGGCGTTCTCGGTCTGGATGGGTGGTGAGCGATTGAAGTTTGACTATGAAGAGGATAATTGGTTGGCTGAAATGCGCAGGTTGAGCACAGTACTTTTTTACGTCTTCCAGAACTACTTGTTGCCTTTGGGGATTGATACCTTTCTGTTTTGCTGAAGATTCTACGGGACTGTTGTTCATCCTAGGCAACGTTCTTTCACGTAGCGCCTAGCCGTTTATAATTTGCTTCATTTAACTCTTCCATACGGTCGTCAGCTATGACTGGGGTCCACCCGAGTTATTTCCTATTTGGGCTGTCGTGGTCATTACTAGATTTTTGAAAACAACCTCGCAGCTGTTCTTCATTAGTGACTTTTGAGTGAACATGATATTGGTGGATCTTTGTGCAGCTCTACATTCTCATTTGAATTCGTACGGAGTTTTCCAGATTTCTATTGGAAGCAGCTTTTGTTTATTTAACATGAATTGATGACATATTGTTGTAAAGTCAAAGACATTAATATAGAAGTATGGGAAAAATATCCCTTTCGAAGTGGTGTATACCATGATTGAAATTTGAGATGATGGTAATTGATTTGTAGAAAATTTATGATGTTATTATCTTTCGTAAAATCTCAGTCCCATTTTATTTTCACGTAGAATTCGCGACGGAGTTTGTTTGCCGCCTGATAATACGGAGATTTGTGAAGATGTGCCAGCGACTGTTGAACAGGACGATTATGTTGTGCCACCTTCCTCTAGCTACGTTTTGGAATCTCAATCGGCAGATAGTGATGATGGCGAAGACTTTCCAGCTTATTATGTGCCAGACAGTGAACAGAATTTTGAGGCGGTAATATTCATATTGACGTTGTAGTATTTTGGAGTAAACGCGGAAGTATTCCATAGAAGATTGTTTTAGCTTCCCGACGGATCTGAGCCTGATAAAACGATGCCTGCTCCGAATTATATACGGGACTGTCTCAAACAGCTTGATGAAAAGGAGAAGTATGAAGTAAGCGTATACCTTGTCGTCCTGTGCCGTCACTCATTCACAACTGCTTGCAGGTGTTTGAAGCAGGATTTTTTGCTTTAAATGCGATGATTCGAAGGAAGGCGATCGGGTTTGTTGATATTGCCGATATCTTGGTAAAGAAACTGGTTTTCCTGGAGGATAAGTTTTCAACTAAAGATTTCGAGGTATCTTGGTGTTAAACGTCATGTGAAATGCTTGCTACCTTTCTGATCTCTAGTAAGTCACTAACATTCTCCACTCCTGCAGTCAATTCAGGTTATTCGTATGCAGTGTGTAGTGTCTTGTCTGGTTATGCGACCTGAAATCGCTCCAAAGCTCGGAGATACGGTCTTTTCTCGCAATTGCACTTTTTTCCATAGGTATCTTCCTCAACTAAATACCATACAAATGAACGTGTTTTTTAACAGATTTTCGACCATATACGTTAATGGACATTTTGAACCATATGGGTCTCACATATCAATTTCTTTCCGTTTGTATCATTTGCAACATTGGCTTGTTTGGAACGCCTTTTACACTATATCTGTAGATCCTTTACGATAGACGTCTCATTTGACGTGTTTCTTAAAAAACTATCTTCTACATTTTACTTCTCATGGAAATAATTGTTTTGGCAAATTCCTCCGTCTTTTTGAATCTTTCGTCGGCTTCGATGATTACTATAGAAACGAAGTACCACAGAGATTGTTATTGTTAAAGAAGGATGTAAGATCTCACTTTTGGGAGCATTGTGCCCTATATGAGTCATATGCGAATAAAAAGAAATTGGAAGTCGGTCGAAATTAGGCTTAACTTTCGCGCCGAAAAAATTGTTTTGGAAGTTAGACTTAGTCGTGAATGTGTTGAAGGTTATTGTATTATGCAAAATTTGAAGAAGCGCGAATTGTTAACTGTTCATACTTCTTTCTCTTTCATTTAGACATTTGATTCTGAAGGCCTTCCTAACTGCTGCTAAAGAGTTGGCGCAATTTTCAATGGAACCATCGACTAAGAATTTTGCTGAAGTCAGTAAGAGCCAAAAGGAAAAGGTATGACACGTTTTGATAAGAGACACCAGGTATCCTAATAAGTGAGTTTCCATTGATAATTCTTTATTCTTGTAATCTTTTTGTTTTCTACAAATTGAGATTTACAACATACATAATTTGTTCAGGTTAATGACTGGAGAGCAATTGTGGAAGCCAGGATTCGTTCTAATACCCGACGGTTTACTACAGCGAAAAAGCCACAAGTACTCACTCCGAATAAATTTGCTCCAGTGGCGACCTTGTTCTTCTATCCTTTACTCGGAACTGAAACTGGAGAACATTTGGAGTTAAAGGTGTTTTTCTTATTTTCAGTTAAATCGTTTAATGACACTTTTTGCTCTATGACAAGATATAAATAACATATTCATGGTAAATGGTATACACATATTTTTATCTTGTTATAGAAAATTAGTCGTAAGTGATGTGGTTTCATAAAATTTGATAGATCTCCTGGTTTTTCTGTTTTCCGGAAGGATTTTACATGATTACCAGGGTCGGGATTCACCGTTCCTTGCACGGCTGTTGAACTGTGTCAGCGAGCTTCTTCAGCTAGCAGTGAACACACCTAGTGTAGTGAAGATGGCAACGTAAGTTTGTGGTTACTGGAACATTTTTTCCATTGATCAGATCCATGTTGTCAGATCTCTGGCAGACATCATTGCGCCACTACGATTTCACCCGGAGGTGTTCATTCGTTCGGCAGTTCTCTTTGCGTACTTTTCTATCACTATTGCAGTTCCTGATGAGGTTTGTACAATCTCAATTTTGAATATTGGTAACAGTTTTACCGTTTTAACCAGAGATTTGATTCAAGGTATTCCCTGACTTCTTCGGTAATGTATTGCACGAATGGATTGAGTGGGCACTGTTCTGTGCGGAGAACGTCGACGCTTCAGAACAAGAACGAGGTTTTGCTCGTAGTGTTGCCATGGTACTTTATCAGAAAACTGCCGGAGTAGATGCTGTAATGAACTAGGCATATTGAAGAGGAATGAGGTGTTTATTATCGATACAATTAAGAAGAAAAAATTTTACTGCTTCTCAGGACTTCTGCACATCATTTTCTTCTTTTAGGTTTTTGAACTAAGCTCGAGTCTTTTTGACATATTCGTGACTGCGTGACCTCTATGAAGATCATTTATAACGGGACGCAGTGACCGATATGACCTCGATAGAGGTAGTTATTCTTCCGGGGATTTATTTTGGTGCACAGATGTTCCTTTCTAAACCTATTGTGACGCAATGATCGCTTGTCCAATTCAGATATAAAACCGCAACTAGTCCTGGGAGAGGTGTGCTCTCAATCATTTCTCGCTTGACGGTTTACAAACCGCTCCTTTTGAATGAGTTGATTATTTCGGAGGCGACGGAGTGCTACCGTTTGGAAGGGAACAGAGGCGTCTCTGTTCCCAGGATCGACTTTCTATTAACCTCGGCATTGGATTATAAATCTCTCGTTTTCTTTCTCAACAATCGCGTGGTTGTTAAACAGCATTCGTTTACTTCCATACAATAATGCACATACAACACAATCGTAGCTGACGTTTCGGTAGTATCGCCTTCTTCAGAGGCTGGAAGGGTATACTGATATATAATTTACTAGGCCAAACGCTTCAATAACACGTACAGAAAGATGAGAATCTAAGTGGTAGTCACATGGTCAACAGCTTCTCGAAAAACCCACCGCTTTTATGTGCGTTCCACTGAGCTAGAACCGCTGATCAGCGTCGCATATGGTTGACGCATATGGTTGCGCCTCCCCACATCAACGATCGATACGAAGGTACGGGGTGAGATCACAGGAGATCTTGGGGCATTCCTCCCTGCTGTTCGTTTTAAGGTTTCTGGCATTTATCCAAAAAGCCTCAAAAGCTTGCGCGCTGGTGTTTTGGCATCCTGTGCGAGGACAGTGACTTTTGTGTCAAAATGCTAAATCACTATCGCGGTAGAAAGTTTGTCTCTAACCTTACAGCCGCAAAAAATGTGGTCTGCGAGGAATTAGAGATTTAATTAATTCAAAGTCCATTGGACTATCAGTTAGTGATAAGGGGGGAGAGTTTGTAGTCATTCCTCGCCAGTTAGATGTGGAGGTAACCGAAGTACATCTTAGCGGTGCTACCATTTCGTCTGATAAGGAATACAAAAGACATTACCGAAAGCTTAACAGCCAATAGGTCAAAATGGCAGACAGCAGCTTTTGTTATCTCGCAATATAAAATAGATAGGCCAACGTGTTCCGTCGTATACTTACTTATTAAAACACATAAGTTAGTATCAGCTGATGATCTTGCGTCTACCAGTCCACTCCCCTACAAGGTTAGACCAATCATCAGTTGGTATTAGTATCTCCTAATAACGCGTATGTGATGGAGTCTTTCGACGTTACCGCACTGTACACCAACGTCGAATGACTCCGCAATGCAAGCCATCTTCGAACTTCTTATTGAATAAGAAGTACGAATAAATATGCATGGCTTGTCCATCCAGCAGCTAATGGCTCTCTTGAAGGAGTGCTTAAACTGCTCGATTTTCAGATGATATGGGAAATATTTCGCGCAAATAAGGGAGTTGGCAATGGGACAGCGATTGGCACCAAACCTTGCCATTGTGTTTATGTCCAAGGTAGAAGCCACTGTTCTCGATCTCCGGCCACTACTCTACTGCAGATATGTAGATGATTGTTTTGTCGTCTTCTCTACGCAGGAGGAGATGGACAAATGCTTTGAATTATTGAACGAGCAGTCCGAGTACATAAAGTTCACCCAGGAGAAACCGAGAAAAAACTGGCTCCCGTTTTTAGACGTTCAAATAAACCTATCAAGATGCGGTTACCTGACAAAGTGGTATCGAAAGTCAAGTAACAAGAACATTCTTGTTCATTTCTTTTCTTCCCACCCTTCACACACAAAGTGGGCGATTGTGAGAAACATGTTTCGAACAGCCATCTCTGTGTGCGCTACCAGGGAACTAAAGGAAGAGTCGCGCGACTTGGCTCGGCAAATAATCATCTCCAAAGGCTACGAAATACCCCACCCCGAAATAAAAAACCACACGAGATAAGTTTACAAGGAGAACGACGCACCCACGCGAAACACTTGGCCGAAAGAAAATCCCGTTTATGTTGCCTTTTATTAGCGATGAAGTACGCGTAGCTATAAAACGATGCTTAAGAAGGGCAGGTCTAGAGGAATCGGTAGCGATAGTTGAAATACCACCGGCTACTCTACGTCGCCAATTAGTTCGCAACCGCCTGTATGACAGTCTGTGTGAAACAACAAATTGCGTAATTTGCCCTTACGGCAGGGACGGTGATTGCATGAGTCCAGGTACGAACAAGGTAGTAAATCATTGTGACTTTTATGGGTGATTTATGGAACACATCTGTATTATCGGCATCAGCAAAACCACTAGTCTATAGAAGGGCTAGGCGTTCACTTATGTGTTTCTAATATAGCGCGCATTATTTCGAACCCTTCTGCACGTAACATTCGATTAATGTTGTAAACATATGAAAATGTGTTTATTATACAAAGTTCTTATAATAAAGACCTCTTGCATACGATTTACAATCTTCACAACCTCATTCGTCTTTAATGGCCACTCATTATAAACAACTAGTACGTTTTACATAATACTTCGATACTTGGATGACCCGTCTTCACTGGTTGTGTGTGTCACAGTAAATTCCATCTTTTCGGAGGTTTGCTGGTTTAGCCATTGTAGTTCACTGGTGTCTCAAGGTTAGCCATGCCCAAATCTCCCTTCTCTCTCTCCGTTATTGCCAGATTTTCAATCTCAGCGATGACCTTTGGTCATTGCTTGGGATCACTGTGTGTCAAAACTAAAAGATAAACACGTAATAAATAAAACAAAATAGATAAACAATACAATAATATAATGCAATAATAAATAATACAATAATAAATAAATAATACAGTAATAAATAAACATCATTATCAACCTCGTGTAAGCTCATCAAAGAAAGAATACATATTGATTAGTGATACCGAGGTTCAAGGAAAGTCGGTTTCGAAATAAACACGTAATATTCCTTGCAAAACCTGTACTACTTCATTAAATGCTGAAAGCATATGACTGCATAGTGGTCGAGTCCATTTTTCCTTCGTACAGAGGAATTGTATATTCACCAAAGCTAGGTGTGTGTGGAAAAAAATGGAACACATACACGATAATAAAAGCGTAAAAATTCTTTCGAAATGCAGAGGAAAACTTAATTGTACAAAGGAAATCGGGTGAAGCTTCCAATTTATGCGACATTGTGACCGGTATGACCTCCATAAGGGTCATAGCAGTCGTGCACAAAGGCGTCGTAGCGAATCTATTGAAAATAATTATACTGCACCTTACTTTTCTCTTGAGATATTGAATTTCACTTAGACTTTGTTACTGTTGTAACCCTTCCTTAATCATATGACCACTAGATGTGTGCCAGCACGATGCGTTTGCGCATAAATGTCGTTGAACTTCTTCAATGTTGAAGTAGTTCTAATACATATTTGAGAAGACATCTATAAGTGCAGCATCGTAACGAGTGAGTAGATTTGTGGAAATAGTCTTTTAAAATATTTCACTGCTACATCTTCTAGTAATTCCCAAAACCGACTCTATTGATCTCGGCAGTGATCGAATTCTTCACTGTTGTCTCGATGAGCAAAGACAACATTTCTTAGTAGCTCGAAAGAACGACTTCCTATACCTCAGCATAGATAATTGATATATTTATTTATATGATCTTATAAACTGATGTTCTTAAGCTGACGCGAAGTTGGTACACATCTTCGTTGTCGTTGTCGTTGTTTTTGATGATGTTGGTCGATGGCCGACGTTTCGGCGACTTCACCTTCCTCAGAGCCTGGACGTATTTTAAATTAGAATATTTATATTCCAAAATAATTTTTAATATAAAATACATCCAGGCTCTTAGGAAGGCGAGGTCGCCGAAACGTCGGCCATCGACCAACATCATCAAAAACAACGACAACGACAACGAAGATCTGTACCAACCTCGTGTCAGCTTAAGAACATCAGTTTATAAGACCATATAAATAAAAAAAGACAACACTGTTACTTTATTCTTTATTTATAAACAAGTTAACGTTTCACAATCGCATTGTGGTTAATTTAGTACTTTCCTGACTTAGTGCTTTCTCTGTTTGGTTAACGAGGTGTTTGGCTGGGTAGATTGCAGCCAACTTGACCTTTCCAAACTCTGAGGAAGGCGAAATCCCCCGAAATGTAGGGTTGTTTATAAATAAGGGATAAACCAACAATTTCGTGTTTGCTCAGCAAGAGAACAGTGAATTATTCTCTTGACCTGTGTCATGATGTGCCTAGAATGCCTGAATTTTCCTTCCTAGGCTCCAACCAATTTACCGCAGAAAATTGTCAGCAAGGGACATTTACTCGATGTTAGTAGTGTTATGCAACTGGTAGAGGTCTTCATCATTGAATATCAAAGTTGTGGAATTTTCAAGAGCTACCCAGTAGTGTGTCGTTTTCTTGTTCAGCAATAGCGAGGTTTTTAAACAGCATACATTTGCTTCCATAGAGAAACACAATACAATACAACGCTAGCTGACGTTTCGGCAGTATCGCCTTCTTCAGAGCCTGGAAGGGTATGCTGATATACAATCTACTAGGCCAAACGCTTCAATAACACTTACACAAAGACGAAAGACTCTTTGGTAATTACACGATCAACAACTTCTCGAAAAACCCACCGCTTTTTCGTGACTTCCAATGAGGAAGTTTAGAACAGCTGATTATAGTCGCATGTGGTTGACGACTGCACCATCCCACATCAAAAATCGATGCGAGCGTACGGGATCAGGTCGCGTATGACCTCCGGGCATTCATCCCTGCTATTCATTGTAGGGTTTTTGGCATTGATCCAAAAAGCCCCAAGAAGTTTTCGCGCTGGTGTTGTGGACTCCTGTGCAAGGATATTGACTTTTA